CTGCCGTGTACAAAAAAAAGGTTCAATCAATCAGTCAGTTTCAACTTCTCGCTGGAAAAAAAAAGATCTGGCAAAGTTGGAATTGATTGATCGAACTTTTTAGTCCCACCCAGTCTGCCGTTACCACCGCAGCCATGTCCACCCAATGGGCCACACCCACCCGGCACCCGACAATGCATAAGTGGGTTTTGGGTTGCAGTTTGGGCACTCGGTCTCTAAAAAGTTCACCATCACTGACCTATACCATCTCAGACAGGTGACTGTCTAGCCTCTTCTTAAAAATCTCCAGTGATGTAACGTCCACGATTTCTGGAGGCAAACTGTCCTCACTGTCAGGAAAATTCTCCTTAATTCCAGGTTGGTTCTCTCCTTGATCAGTTTCCAACCATTGTTTCTTGTCCTTCCCTCTGGTGCTCTGGTGAACAACCTGACCCCCTCTGCCTTGTGGCAGCCCCTCAGATACTGGACCACTGCTATCATGTCTTCCCTATTTCTTCTTTTCTTTAGACTTGCCAAACCCAAGTCCCGTAGCCGTTCTTCATATGTTTTAGTCTCCAGGCCTTTAAACAGAGATGATGGAAAGTATAATACATCGATGAAGCAGTTCAGTCACTCTCTGTTAGCCTTTTCAGAAACTGGCATCCAGAGCAGAAGTAATACATATGTTGCCGTCTCTCTGCATATGCCAGTTGTCAGCAGCAGGGATGCCCCCCTTCCTCCCCCTTCCCCTTTAATGCATCTCCAGTGCCTTCACCATTCAGGAATAAATATGTACTGTGCTTGATGGCAAAAATAATTCCCCCACTTTATCTCGGCTTTGTTCCTTTGGAAAGCCTGCCTTCCATTCCTCCAGCGCCATGATATGAGGCCTTCTTTTGAGGCCTTCTTGTCAGTGGCTAAGCCACAGTTTGGAATGAGTGGGCTGGCGTTTTTTAACTTGCTAAACCTGGCGAGAGGGAGGAAGGCAGGCACAGGATCAATGGGAAATGTGTTCTGCTCTGTTTCCTTACCACTAATCCAGAAACGTGGCTTGTGGAAGACTTCCAGATTTTAAAAAAAAACAGACAAGTCTGTTGATTTCCCCTAATGGCAGTATGCAGGGGCTGTAATTTGGGAAATAATATTTCTTTGCATGGAGAAGGCCATACCTTCAGTTTCCAGAATCTCCTGTCAGAGCTGATGGCTCAAAGTAGCTTCTTAGGCTTTGCAAACCTTACACTAATTCATCAGGGTCTCAGATATAGAAAGTCCTACGTTGGATCAGTGTTTCTCACCCTGGGTAACTTGAGATGTCTGGACTTCAACTCCCAGAATTCTCCAGCCAGCATGCTGCCTGGAGACTTCTGGGAGTTGAAGTCCTGACAGGATCACGGGTTCTCGGTAAACTTCCCCAAGAGCCAAATGGTTCCTACAACAAGGCTGTTACAAGGCCATCATAGACATGGTGGAGTGCCAGGTCTACTTATCACAGGAACGTCAGGACAGCATAAGGGAGTTAGTCCTCAAATTACGCAGGAGTCAAACTGTAACATTGGCCAGTCTCTTCCAGTTGTTAGGGAAGATAATCTCGGCCATAGCGATCGTCCCTTGGTCCAGGCTCCACTCCAGGGAACTTCAGTGGTTCCTGCTCCCCTTCCAGAGACAGAACCTCAGCGCCTCCCAGCAAAGAGTGAGACTCCCACTACAAGTATCGCGTTCTCTCACGTGGTGGCTCTCACCCGCCATGCTCAAGGGGTCCTCCTTCAAGGAGCCAGATCGGCTCATGCTAACGACCAACGCCAGCCTGTTCGGTTGGGGAGCGCACCTTCGCTCACAGTGGGCACAGGGCCGTTGGTCTCGCTCAGACCTTCGGCACAACATCAATTGGCTGGAGCTCCGGGCCATACATCTGGCCTTTCGCCACTTTCACAGCCTGGTGACGAGGTGTCATGTATTAGTCCTCACGGACAACGTAGCGGCCAAGGCTCATATAAACCAGCAAGGGGGCACCAGATCTCGGACCCTATTGACCAAAGCTCTTCTACTGGGGTCCTGGGCAGAATCCAATCTGGCCTCCATCAAGGCCGATCACATTTCGGGGGAGGCAAACACTCAGGCCAACCTCCTGAGCAGGTCAGCGGTCGATCACTTGGAATGGCGACTCCACCCGAGGATTTTCAGAGAAATCTGTCACCAGTTCGGCTTGCCATTGCTGGACCTCTTTGCGTCCCCGATCAACGCCCAGCTGCCTCGATTCTTTTCCCGGTTCCCATTTCCAGGGGTGGAATGAACAGATGCTCTTCGGAGCCCATGGCCGGAGGGCTTGCTTTATGCCATCCCTCCTCTCCTCCCAGCGGTCATCCGCAAGCTTCTTCGGGAGTGGGCGGAGATCCTCCTAGTGGCTGCATACTGGCCACGGAGGCCTTGGTTTGCCGATCTGGTGAGTCTCTCCCTTGCGGATCCATGGAGGATTCCTCCGGACCAGGTTTCGCTCAGCCAGGGGACCATTCTCCATTCCGACCCCCAATGGCTCCAGTTAGCCGTCTGGCACTTGAGCACTCAATCTTGTCACGGGAGCTTTGCTCTCCAGGGGTCATTACGGTAATCCAGGCTTCCCGTCGCCCTTCTACAAACCGCATTTACGAGGCCACGTGGAAGAATTTTCTCTCGTGGTGCTCGGTTCGACACTTGTCACTCTCAGACCTTATGATTCCCCATATTCTGGACTATCTGTTAGAGGGCTTGGAGAGGAGCTTGGCCCCGAATACATTGCGCAGATCGCTGCACTTTCCACAGTACTCACCTGTGACTCTGCGGTTTCCTTGGGGCATCGCCTCCTACTCTGCTCATTCCTCAAGGGGGCCGCTAACACCAGGCCCCCTGTAGTGCACAGGTACCCTTCTTGGGAGCTTCCACGTGTTCTTCAGGCCCTGACCAAGTCACCCTTTGAGCCTCTAAAAACGTGCGATGTGCGCTATCTGTCCACAAAGTGGCGGTCACGTCGGCGCGACACATTTCTGAATTGGCAGCGCTTTCTACCCGGGATGACCTGTGCATTTTCCACCAGAATCAAGTGGTCCTCCGCCTCGATCCTACCTTTCTTCCAAAGGTCAACTCCCTTTTCCACAAGGCCCAGGAAATTGTGCCCCCGGATTTCTGTCCTAACCCATCGCATGATCAGGAACGGCAGTGGCATCTATTGGACGTCCGCAGGGCACTCTGGTACTATATCTCATGGACAGCGGCGTTCCGCAACTCAGAGGCCCTCTTTGTCTCCTTCCGCCCTTCCTCCAGTGGTCGGAAGGTCTCCTCCTCCACGATTGGCAGGTGGATTAGGGCGTGTATTGCGAGGGCATATCAAGCCGCTTCATTGCCGGTTCCACGATGGATTACGGCCCACTCTACTCAGAGTGCTGCTACTTCCGCGGCCTGGGCCACTCAGGCGTCCATTGAAGACGTCTGCAGGGCAGCCACATGGTCTTCACCATCTCCTTTTATACGTCACTATAAGATTGATAGGTTTCCCGCGGCGGAGGCCTCCTTTGGTAGGAGGGTTCTCCAACAGGTCGTACCTCAAAGTGCCACGCCGGAACGGTCTGCTCCCCTCCCTCAGGGACAGTAGGCTTTGGTATGTCCCATTGGTGGATTATCCATCTCCAGTACTGGAGAAGGGGCGTTGTCTTACCTGAACGCCTTTTCTCAGCACGGAGATGGATAATCCACTCCCGCCCTTGCAGGTTACTTAGGCCTAGGGCTAGATTGATGAGCCAACACGTCTTGCGGTCAGTCAGTGGCTACGCTCGCGTCAAGACTGGGATCTCTATGGTCCAGGACGGGCGTGGCAACTTTGGCTGACTTGAGCTGATTGGGCAGGAACACAGTCTAAACCCATTGGTGGATTATCCATCTCCATGCTGAGAAAAGGCGTTCAGGTAAGACAACGCCCCTTCCCTCGTCTTTGTGGTCATTCGCAACAAAGGAAAATATTTGTAGCTCAGGGTTGAAATGAGGAGGTCCTTGGTGCTCTCTGGGCTTGGTTGTTTGCTTGCAGACGTTTCAGTACCCAAACTAGGTAATATCATCAGTGACTAGAGGAGCTGTGGTGGCGCAGTGGTTAGAATGCAGTATTACAGGCTAACTCTGCCGACTGCTGGCAGTTCGATGCTGACTGGCTCAAGGTTGACTTGCCCTTCCTTCCTTCCGAGGTTGGTAAAATGAGGACTCCGATTGTTGGTGGCCGTATGCTAAATTCTGTAAACTGCTTATAAAGCACTGTGAAGCAATATATAAGTCTGAGTGCTGTTGCTATTGCTAATTTGGGTAATGAAATAACGAAGCTCAGAGAGCAACCAGCATATATTTACTAGGCTGCAGCATCCTGGAATCATATCCTGTTTGTGACCTTCCCATCTGCCTTCCAACAATGTTTAAGGACCACATGATTTACCTAACTGCAGTCATTTGCTTAACAGCCATGGCAAAAAGGTTGTAAAAATTGGGTGTGACTCGCTTAACAGCCACCTTGCTGAGCAAGCAAAATTCTGGTCAGAGTCATAAGTCAAGGACTTCAGTGATGAACACTAAGGAACCCTCAAGATCACTCCTGCACACTTTTACATCGGCATGCAAAGTAAAACAAGTCTGTGTGTTCTCCAGGTGGTGAATTTGTAAAAGATTTTCCTAGCACAGGGGTAGGCAACCTTGGCTCTTTTATGACTCGTGGACTTCCAACTCCCAGAATTCCTGAGCCAGCATGGCTCAGCATGGAAACCTTTCCCTTTCCCCTCAGCATGGCTGGCTCAGGAATTCTGGGACTTGAAGTCCACGAGTCATAAAAGAGCCAAAGTTGCCTACCCCTGCCCTAGCATTATCTTACTGTACAGTAAAATTCAGGAGCAGAGAAGTCTTTTTCTGGGCCACGCCCAACCTCTGTTAGGTTCTCAATATCCTCTTCTCAATGTGTGGCATTCCTTGCAGAGTCACCTTAAGGCACTGGACAACTTTCTCGTTTTTCCCCACAGGTTACAAAGCGTTAAAGGCTTTGCTGAGAAGCCTGGTGGATCTTCAGGATGAGCTGTGGCACCAGAACTCGGGGACCAGACATTTGGTAGCAGGACAAGAGAAAGAGGAGAGGTAAAGGGGATTGTGATGGCGGTGACTGGGGAACGGGCAGGCAGAGGCCACAAAACACCTTTCCAACATGGGGGGGGGGGCGGGGAAAGGAAAAAATTAGATGGGGGTCAGCCCTTGAACCCAGCTTACAATCACAATTGAGCCCAAAGTCTCTGTTGCTAAGCGTGACAGGTGTTTAAGTGAATTTTACCCCCTTTTACAACCTTTCTTGCCGAAGTTATTAAGTGAATCACTGCGATTGTTAAGTTAGTAACACCCTTGTTAGAATAGAATGACAGAGTTGGAAGGGATCTTGTAGGTCAGTGGTGGCGAACCTATGGGTGCCAGAGGTGGCACTCAGAGCCCTCTCTGTGGGCACCCGCGCCGTTGCCCCAGCCCCGCCTCCCCCCGCACCCCCCTCCTCACCAGCAGCCCTCCCAGAGGAGAGTCACCCCCGAGCACGGCCCGTGTGGAGCAGCACAGCCAAGGACATGGCAGCTGGGCAGCGGGGACAAGACTCCGCCATCACGCCCCGTCGCGTGCAGTTGATGCTGCAGGGTGCGGGCAGAGGGGGGGCTGCCATGGCACTGCTGGGCTGCCTGGGTGATCTGCCGTGGGTTGTGGAAGTGTTGGGTGGCCCTGTGGGTGGGCGGGGCACGGGGGCGGAGCTGGTAGGGGTGGAGTGGGGGGCGGGGCAGGACCGGGTTTTGGGCACTCGGTCTCTAAAAGGTTCACCATCATGTTGTAGGTCAGTGGTTCTCAACCTGTGGGTCGGGACCCCATTTGGGGTCGAATGACCATTTCACGGGGGTCGCCAAACAACGCAGTCCGCCATTTTTTCCCCCTTTTCCTTAGCTGTGCTACTCCCTTTTATTCTATTGGCTTTTGAAAGCCAATAGAAGAGACTCTCTTGAATAGAGTCTAATTCTATTGGCTTTCAAAAGCCAATAAGAATTGTCCAGGCTGTGTCTGCCCTGCTGAGCCCGCCAAAAGTCCCATTCTGCAAACAGTGCTGCACTAGTTGAGTAGTCCTCGACTTACAACCGGTTGAGTAGTCATCTAGCCCACCCACCTCCACCCAAGAAGACCCTACACCACATCTGACAGATGGAGTCTCTTCTTGAAAGCTTCCAGTGATGAAGCTCCCACAATGTCTGAAGGCAAACTGTTCCATTGTTCTCACTGTCAGGAAATTCCTCCTTATTTCTAGGTTGAATCTCTCCTTGATCAGCTTCCATCTGTTATTCCTTGTCTGGCCTTCGGGTGCTTTAGAAAATAGGTTGACCCCCCCTCCTCTCTCTGTGACGGCCCCTCAAATATTGCAACACTGTTGTCATGTCTCCCTGATCCTTCTCTTCACTAGACTAGCCATGCCCAGTTCCTGTAACCGTTCCTCATGTGTTTTAGCCTCCAGTCCCTTAATCGTCTTTGTTGCTCTTCTCTGCTTCTCTCACTTTGTTAAGTGAATCTGGCTTCCCCATTGACTTAAGCACGATCAACATCTAGTGGCGCGACCCCTAAGCTAATTTAAGGAAAACTCATTTAATTTAGTTTCAGGAATTCTGGGAGCGGACGTCCCACAGGTGGTAAAATTGCCATAGTTGCCCACCCCTGATTTAAACGTACAATCCCCGATCACGAGTGGCCGTATTGGCTGAGGCTGAAAAAGAGCTGATCCTGAAAGCGTCTGGCAATGCCGATGTCTCGATTTAGAAAAGGCCACGCTGAGGCTTCTGCAATCATGCCTCCCTTGCCCAATTATTATTATTTTTTCCCGTCCCCCCTTTGCATTAGGCCTAAGGCTTATCCAGGGATAAGGTTCAGAGCTGTCGAAAGACTTGTTCCCGCTTCATAGGGTATTATCTGCCTGTGTGATTACATGGCTTTAACAGGGGATTAGCTATTCATGGAGGGAAAAAATGCAATCAGCCTCTGTTGACCATGAGGCTAAATGGGAATGCCATATTCAGGGGCACTATACCATCGAAGGCCAAGATGATCTGACGCAGTAAAGGATACATCAGCCGCTTTCATGCTCCACTTCAACCGAATAACAGAATCGGAAGGGACCTTGGAGGTCTTCTAGTCCAGCCCCCTGCTCCAGCAGGAAACTGTTTACAAGCAGCCCTCGATTTACAACAGTTTGTTCAGTGGCTGTCCGAAGTTACAACGGCACTAAAAAAAAGTGACTTATGACCATTTTTCACACTTACGACCATTGCAGCATCCCCGTGGTCACATGACCAAAATTCAGACGCTTGGCAGCTGACTCATATTTATGACAGCTGCAGTGTCCGGGGTCACACGATCACCCTTTGTGACCTTCCAACAAGCAAAGTCAGTGGGGAAGCCAGATCCACTTAATAACATGTTATTAGCTTAACACCTGCAGTGATTCACTTAACCACTGTGGCAAGAAAGGTCATAAAACGGGGCAAAACTCACTGAACAACTGTCTTGCTTAACAACAGAAATTTGTGCCTCCGTTGTGGTCATAAATCGAGAACTACCTGTATCTCTTCAGACAAATGGCAGTCTCTTCTTAAAAACTTCAAGTGTTGGAGCATTCCCAGCTTCTGGAGGCAAGTTGTTCCGCTGATTAATTGTTCTAACTGTCAGGAAATCTCTCCTTAGTTCTAGGTTGCTTCTCTCTTTGGTTAGTTTCCATCCATTGCTCCAGTTTGACAGCCTTGCACTTATCATAGGTTAACTATTGGTAACTACGTTTGGGGATAAAACCGTACTACCATGTTTCCCTGAAAATAAGACCCGGTCTTTTTTATTTTTGCCGGCCCACTTCTTCAGCGGAGTCCCCTGGCCTGCATTTTGCAATCAGAGGCCTTTCCAGGAGGCCTCTGCAGCCGAGAACCGAGCTATGGTTTCAATCCATAGCTCGGTTCTCAGCTGTAGAGGCCTTCCAGAAAGACCTCTGACTGAAAAGCGTACTGCAACAGTAAGTGGGTGCTGGGCATGTGGGGTAGCTCCACCCCCGCCTCCCACCCCTGCCCTAGCTTGATTTTTAGGCATGCACCTTGCCCCAAAACTAGGGTTTATTTGGGGGGGGGCAGGGCTTATATTAGGCCCACCTCCAAAACTCAAATTAGGGCTTATTTTCAGGGCAGGTCTTACTTTCGGGGAAACACGGTAAAGAAAGCAAGCTATCAGGAGATGCTTGGACAGCTCTGTAAGACTAAATGCACCACCACCATCTTTATTGTCAGCAATGAAGAGATCTCAAGTGGCAGCGATGAAGCTGAGGAAGGGAAGAGGGTTGTGGGGAGGCCACCCAAACGGAAGCTGGAGATGGAGGACTACCCTGAATTTGCCTCCAAGCGGTTTGCTGAGTTTCGAGTCTATAGAAACAGCACCCTACAGAAGTGGCATGACAAGACCAAGCTGGCTTCTGGCAAACTGGGCAAGGCAAGTATTTCTTTATCAGAGCAACTGAGGAGGGATGCATGGTGTGAATCCATCAGCAAGAAGCCTGGTGCCTGTGAGTTCTAGTCCCGCCTTAGTCACAAAAGCCATCTGGGTGACTTTGGGCCAGTCACCAGGAGATGGTGAGTTCTAGTCCTGCCTTAGATATGAAAGCCAGCTGAGTCACTGTGAGCCAATCACCAGGAGATTGTGAGTTCTAGTCCTGCCTTAGGCATGAAAGCCAGCTGAGTCACTGAGCCAATCACTAGGAGATTGTGAGTTCTAGTCCTGCCTTAGGCATGAAAGCCAGCTGAGTCACTGTGAGCCAATCACCAGGAGACTGTGAGTTCTAGTCCTGCCTTAGGCATGAAAGCCAGCTGAGTCACTGTGAGCCAATCACTAGGAGATTATGAGTTTTAGTCCTACCTTGGGCTTGAAAGCCAGCTGAGTCACTGTGAACCAATCACCAGGAAACTGAGTTCTAGTCTTGCCTTAGACATGAAAGCCAGCTGAGTCACTGTGAGCCAATCACCAGGAGATTATGAATTCTAGTCCTGCCTTAGGCATGAGGCCCCTTGAATGCGGGGTGCCGCAGGGGTCGGTCCTCTCCCCCCTCCTATTTAACATTTATATGAAGCCGCTGGGTGAGATCATCAGACAGCACGGGGTGAGGTTTCATCAGTATGCTGATGATACCCAGCTATATATCTCTTCCCCGAGCTCTCTCAGTGAAGCGGCTGATGTGATGGGCCGTTGCCTTGAAGCCGTGAGGGTCTGGATGGAGGTTAACAGACTCAGGCTCAATCCTGACAAGACCGAGTGGCTTTAGATGTTGCCTCCCAAGGATCATGTTAACTGTCTAGTGTTGACTCTAGCAGGGGAAAATATACCCCCTTCGGAGCGGGTTCGCAACTTGGGTGTCCTCCTTGATCCACAGCTGAAATTGGAACATCATTTGATGGCAGTGGCTGGGAGGACCTTTGCACAAGTTCATCTGTTGCACCAGTTGCGACCCTACCTGGACCGGGAAGCTCTCCTTACAGTCACTCATGCCCTTGTCACCTCACGCCTGGACTACTGCAACGCGCTCTACACGGGGCTACCCTTGAAAAGTATTCGGAGACTACAGTTGGTCCAGAATGCAGCCGCCCGAGTGATAGCGGGTGTTCCTCGGTACACCCACGTTACACCTATCCTCCGCGAGCTGCACTGGTTGCCTGTTGGTCTTCGGGTCCAATTCAAGGTGTTGGTTATTACCTTTAAAGCTCTATATGGCTCAGGGCCAGGCTATTTGTGAGACAGCCTACTACCTCATAGTTCCCTTCGTCCGGTTAGATCCCACAGGCTGGGCCTCCTTCAGGTCCCGTCGGCCAAGCAGTGCCATTTGGCAGGGCTGCAGGGGAGGGCTTTCTCTGTGATGGCGCCCACGTCTTAGAACCAGCTCCCCCCGCAGATTAGGACCGCTTCCACCCTGTTGGTTTTCCGCAAGCTGCTTAAGACCTGACTTTTCCGGCAGGCCTGGGGTTTATAAAATCTGACCCCTGGATGAATGTTACTATATTGTTTGTCTTGTTAAGTTATATTGTGTTTTTATTGTTAGCTGCCCGGAGTCCTGCGGGAGTGGGGCGGTATATAAATCCAAATGAATGAATGAATGAATGAATGAATGAATGAATGAATGAATGAATGAATGAATAAAAGCTGACTTTGGGCCAGTCACCAGGACCTTGTGAAGTTATATTGTGTTTTTATTGTTAGCCGCCCGGAGTCCTGCGGGAGTGGGGCGGTGTATAAATCCTAATAAATGAATGAATGAATGAATGAATGAAAGCTGACTTTGGGCCAGTCACCAGGACCTTGTGAGTTCTAGTTCTGCCATAGGCATGAAAGTCAGCTAGGTCAATGTGGGCCGATTACCAGGAGACTGTGAATTCTAGTCCCACCTTAGGTATGACAGCTGGTTGGGTGACTTTCAGCCAGTCACTCTTTCTTAGCCCAACTCACCTCACAGAGTTGTTATAATGGGGAAAATAGAGGTATGTATGCCACCATGAGTTATTTACGTATACAAATAAAGCAGAGGAATGGATGGATGGACGGATCGATGGGTGGATGAACGAGATCACCTTGAAGAAAAATTTACAAGTAAAAGTAAACCCTCCCAAAAGCAAATAGTGTGATCAGCATGTAAAAGAAAATAAATAGATAATAGCAGGAAACAATTTCTGCTCATTGGCTGGTAAAGAAAGACAGCGGCGGGGGGGGGGGGCTTGGGGCCAGGAGGAAACATCAGTGTCTTTTCTGCTTTCCCTGACGTTGCTTGATGCTCTTCCAGGGTTTTGGTGCCTTTGAGCGATCCATCTTGACTCAAGTAGATCATATCCTGATGGACAAAGAGAGGTTACTCCGGCGGACACAGACCAAGAGGTCAGCCTACAGGGTGCTGGGAAAAACCCCGCCGGCTGCTGAGGTTCTTCCAGAAACCCAGCTGGCAGAGACGGTAAGGAGTGACACAGGTTGGACGAAGCAGAGGGAACAATTTGATTCTCCTATTTGGAGGTAATTGATTTGGGGGAAGAAAAACCAATCACAGGAAACTTAGCAGCAGAGGTTTTGGTCCCAGTTATGTCAAGGATTACTTGTTAATGCGTTGCTAAGTGAACGGGACAGTTGTTAAGTGATTCCACTTAAACTAATGGGCGTTTTTTGTGGTTGTGTGACCATGGAACACTGCAAATCACCGTAAATGCAAGCCAGTTGTTTAGTGCCCAAAGCGCAATCACCTTCCCACCAGATGTGTGTGCATGCATCTATTTACAGTTGTCGGAACTCCGGATCCAGGTCTGTTTAACTTGAAACGGTCACTAAGTGAGGACTATCTGTAAATTGCTTCCTGCAAGGTTAGGTGGGCTGAGATGGAGCAGCTTTACCAGCTTCCTTACGGTAAACAACTGCTTGGTGCAGCTGTGTGACATGTTTGTTTGAAGAGCTACATCTTGTGAACCTCCCCATTTTGTATGCATTTTGTTGGCTTCCCTCCCCCAGTTCAAATCCTGGATAACTAGACTAATATGTCATGTTTATAAGCTATCATCTGACTTGTTTGCTTGAGCTGTGCAAAGACTTTTGATGGATGATGGTCTTCCCAGACCTTCTCACTCCGTAAAGAATGAACACATGAAAGGGAACCGAATAGTCCTGCCTTCGTTCTCCATTTGTGCGTCCATATATTAGAGATGAATTGTGTATGCACAAAACCTTCTCTTGGTTTTGAAGTCAAAGCATGCCCCAAGATGCTCGAAACAGCTCATTTAAAGTTCAAGGCAGTAGCAACCCTTTTGAAATGGGAGATTTCATGGTATTTCACATTCAAAACAGTTCACAATGAAGCATTTTGCATATTCTTAGATTTCTGGAGCAACAAATAGCAAGCCCTGCAAGAGAGTTGTGGGGAGGTTAAAAAAGAAAGGAAGGGTAGACATAAACAGTCAAAAAATGGAAAGTGGGCTGTTGGCAGCTTATCTCATAAACAGCAATTCAATCCAGGTGAAGAGAAAGCGGAGAAGAAAAAAAATAAATTATCCGAAGAGATTCTGCTTTATCTCTTAAATGGCAACTCAGCCCAGGTGGAGAGAAAGCTGGGAAGAAGCATTTCAATGTGTTTAAGCATCTCCATCTCAATGAACTCACAAAAAAAAGGGTGGGAAATTCCTCTTAGACCAGTGATGGTGAACCTTTTAGAGACCGAGTGCCCAAACTGCAACCCAAAACCCATTTATGCATCGTGGAGTGCTGGCTGGGTGTGGCCCATTGGGTGGGCGTGGCCCATTGGGTGGGCGTGGCCCATTGGGTGGGCGTGGCCCATTGGGTGGGCATTGGTGCGGTGGTAACGGCAGACTGGGTGGGATTAAAAAGTTCAATGAATTCCAACTTTGCAAGAACTTTTTTTTTCCTACAAGAAGCTGAAATTGATTGAACTTTTTCTTTCTTTTTTTTTTTTTTTTTTTTTTTGCACACCGCGGCGGAGGCCTTAAGTCAGTGGTTCTCAACCTTTCTAATGCCGCGACCCCATAATACAGTTCCCCATGTTGTGGTGACCCCCAACCACTTATACATCACCGGGTGCCAGGGGCGTGGCCAAAGAAAAGGGGGAAAAAATGGCGGACAGCCTTGTTTGGCGACCCCCCGTGAAATGGTCGTTCGACCCCAAATGGGGTCCCGACCCACAGGTTGAGAACCACTGCCTTAAGTGAAAAGGTTTTATAAAACCCAGCTGAAGGCCTAGGACTGGGGCGATGGCGCACGTGCCCACAGAGAGGGCTCTGAGTGCCGCCTCTGGCACCCGTGCCATAGGTTCGCCACCACTGTCTTAGGCTGTCCAGGAGTCTCTGTTGATCCCAGAGTAGCATTTAATAAAATCTGTGTAGTTCTAGCTTATTTGTTCCTGACTTGCAGCGTGGAATCTGACACTTGTGGTACCTTGAAAATGAGCAAATATATTATTGCACACACAAGAAGACTGTGAACCCCACAAAGCTTTGGTAATAATAGATTTCTTATATTTATGGTATCACAAGATCTTCAGTAGTATAGATCAGGGGTCCCCAATCCCCAGTCCATGGACTGGCACCGGGCCACGGCATGCCAGAAACTGGACTGCACAAACAAGCGAAGCCCCATCCACGGGATGCAAGGCAGCACACAAAACCACACACCCCTCTGGTCCACGGAAAAACCTCTCTCCACGGAACCGGTCCCTGTCCCAAAAGATATATGTGGTCCTCAACTTAAGACTGTCATTGAGCCCAGAATTATCGTTGTAAGTCATGCTAGTTGTTAAGTGGGTAAATACGTGACCACATCAAACGTTACAACTTTTTTTGTGGTGATTGTTAAGCGAACCCTTGTTCACAGTGACTGTTTTTGCCAGAAATCCGATGCAAATAGCAGTTTCTGGCAATTGTTTTTTAAAATATAAATGACGGTCATATGATTGTGGGTGGCTGCAAACGACCATAAATTTGGTTTTAATAAAATAAAGTAAGTGGAATCTAGGTAGTGTGCAAAACTACGCTCCCCACCCCTGATCCATGGAAAAATTGTTTTCTACCAAACCGGTTCCCAGTGCCCAAAAGGTTGGAGACCTAAAAGACAAATATGCTGCTTTGATTGTTCAGTCATTTTGTAGCCACAAAGGCCACTGTGAATCTAGACCAGTAGTTCTTAAATGATTTGACCCAATTCCTCCTTTTCCCAGTCTCAAATATTGTCATTATCTTCACCCCCAGACCTGAGGAACTGTTGTTTTACACAAGTTTAGGCAGTGGCATTCCCAAACTGCATCCTTGACTCACAAAGAGATTTTAAGAACCACCGTTCTAGATATAAAGAACGGTTGCTAGGATTGGATATGTCTAGTTTAATGAAGAGAAGGACGAGGGGTGACATGATAGCAGTGCTCCAATATCTTGGGTTGCCCCAAAGAAGAGGCGTCAAGCTATTCTCCAAAGCACCTGAAGGCAGGACAAGAAGCAATGGATGGAAACTAACCCAGGAGAAAAGCAACCTAGAACTAAGGAGAAACTGTCTGACAGTTAGAACAATTAATCAGTGGAACCACCTGCCTCCAGAAACTCTGAATGCTCCAACACTGGAAGTTTTTAAGAAAAGACTGGACAGCCATTTGTCTGAAATGATATAGGGTTTCCTGCCTACTAGATGACTTCCAAGGTCCCTTACAACTACTACTACTACTACTACTACTACTACTACTACTACTACTTCTCCTCCTCCTCCTCCTTCTCCTCCTCCTTCTCGTTGTTGTTCTTATTATCATTATTACTATTATTACAATGATGATGATGATGATGATGTTGGAGCTGAGATGGTCCTCCCAAAAATATCTTTTCTGCCTTCTAGGAGACAGTTCCTCCAGTGATGTCAAATGCCCACCTCAAAGACCTGGATGTGGAGATCTTTGATGACGATGACTTTTATCATCAGGTGAGTCCCCACCTTCTAAGTAAGTGTGAAGTATTCAAGGAAAGCCACTTGGACATGTTAAGGGTCCTCTACTTTTTTTTTTCATCATCCGACTCAGAGGTTATGGCAGGGAAGCCATGGCCAAAAGAAATGTGTGAAAGAGAGTTTTAACACACACACACACACACACACACACCATAAGCCTCTCAACTCCTCTGATTGCTGCTGAGGCCAGCATAGCTGAGCATGAGTAGGGAAAAATATTCATCCAAAAAGCACATTCAGATGTTCTCCCGGATGCTCGTTTTCCATCCTGACACATACCAATGGTTCACCATGAGCTGGTTTTGCCGAAAACTGGAAGTAAATGCCATGGGGGAGGGGGGGAGCTGTGACCGTGGGATGCTGCAAATATTGCCAAGTATCTGGCATGTGATCGTGTGACTGCGGGCGAGGGTGACCATCGAAACTTCAGAACTGGTTCATAAGTACCACCGGGCCGGTCTTTTGAATGGTCACTGAGGGACTGGCCATAACTCAAGGGCTAATATGTATTGTGAATAAAGTGCATTAGCAACAGCATTTTAGACTTATATACTGCCCCATAGTGTTTCAAAACTCTCTAGTTTACAATATAGAAGCAATATTTGCATATTGTTCCCCAAACAATCTGGGTTCTCATTTTACCGACCGCAGAAGGACGGAAGGCTGATTGGGCCTTGGGACCCGTCAGGATTGAATTCCAGGCCGTGGGTAGAGTTAGCCTGCAATTCTGCATTCTAAAGGGCTCCTGAAAGTTCATTTCTTCTTTCCATTCCTTAAAAAAAAAAAAAGTTGGAGCATACCAGAATCCATGGGCAAAATATTGTCCATCCTTGCAGTAAAGTCGGTGCTTCGAAAAGACCCCTAAAAGGAGTTTGAAATCAAATTTGTAGGTCAGTGTGGGACTGAATTCAGCCCTCTTCCTCAAACGTCTCTTGATTCAAAATATGATAATGGGATGTTCCTAATTAAAAGGCTAAGCTGGGGCTGAGTGAGTGGACTTGGAGAGACTTGTACAGACAGGCTATTTATAGGCCACCCATCTCACAAAGCATGATTTGCATATGGGTGATGAATTAATTCCTGGCGGAGTGTGGCTGTGGGCTTGTGGGCTATTGCTGTTCCTAGGAGTTGGAGGATTCTGACTCATTTCTGACATGCCTTTTCTGTGTGGTGGGGGTTCGTTTTTGCGTGGTAGTGGGCTGTGTGGGTGTGTTGTGGTTTGGGCCCTCTGTGTCGGAAGATAATAATAATAATAATAATAGTAATAGTAGTAGTAGTAGTAGTAGCAGTAGTAATAGTAAAGTTGGAAGGGACCTTGGAGGTCATCTAGTCCAACCCCCTGCTCAGGCAGGAAACCCTACACCATTTCGGACAAATGGCTGTCCAGTCTCTTCTTAAAAACTTCCAGTGTTGGAGCATTCACTGCTTTTGGAGGCAGGTTGTTCCACTGATTAATTGTTCTCACTGTCAGGAAGTTTCTCCTTAATTCTAGGTTGCTTCTCTCTTTGGTCAGTTTCCAACCGTTGCTTCTTGTCCTGCCTTCAGGTGCTTTGGAAAATAGCTTGATTCCCTCTTCTTTGTGGCAGCCTTTATGGCAGATGCAGTTTTTGGGATAGCCGTTAACAAAGAAAGACGTCAAGCAGCTATTTCTTTTCCGCTTTTCTTAGTGTTGTGGTACTGCAGCGTGTCCTGGCCTTTCGGAAGAGGGTCTGGACACAGTTTCTTTCGTGTGTGGGTGGGGTGGTTGCTTGCAAAGCTGAGGATCTGCTCCGTGCTCGTGGGTTTATGATAGACACGTGTTTCCAGTTCTCCTTGTCCAATCTCCTTATCTGGATGTCAAGGAATGGGAGGCTGTTGTCTGTTTTCTCATCATGTGTGAATTTAATCCCAGGGAATATTGTCATGGTTCTGACAGATGAAACTGTTCAAAAGAACTTGGAAGCATTGTTTACCTTAAAGAATCTTTATTTTGAGTAACATAATATTGGCACTTACATAATCGAAGCCAAAACCTGAATTCCCCTCCCCCAGCACATAGTATCAAAGCACAATTCCCTCTTCCAATTAACAGTCATAAATCACATTCCCCAATTAGCTTGAAGTGTGGGCTTCCTCTCCAGTTCTCCAGTCCTGCCAAGTCCTTATCAGCTTTGTTTACAATAACCTTGTTTCTCATTCCAGGCTTGATGTTGTTTTGTCTAGCTAGACTCTCATTCACATCCCCCTTCCCAGCATCATCTAACTCTAAAAGCAAAAGGTAAAAGATGGCTACATTTCCATGTGTTGTCAATGCAAAACCATCCGATGTTAGCAGCGTTGACAAATATGTTATCGAGTAGGTAGTGTGTTTCTTCAATTTGGGAGCGTTTGGGAGCCTGTCCAGAATTTTGGTTGGATGGCGGGTAAAGCTATGGATTCGAGTCGTTGCAGGACTGTTTCTGTATTAGGGTTCCTCTAAACTCCACTTAACTCCATTGATGCTGTCACCTAGCCTGGTATCGAAACGTTCGAAAACCAACCCACAACCTCGGAGAACGAACCTTCACCCTCATTGCATGTGGGTTTTGGTCCAAGTAAAGATATGTGGCAGCCAGTATTTGCCTGACCATAAACTTGAGATAGATGTGGGCGACCGGAGTTGCTGTGTTGTTTTGGAAACCTCTGTGGCCTGCAAAATAACACAAGGTAGTTCTCAACTTACAGCCACAATTGAGCCCAAAATTTCTGTTGCTAAGTGAGACAGTTGTAAAGAGAAGAGTACCATTTCTTTTATATATAAATATTTTATTAATTTTCTATTTTTACAATCAAGTGCTTAATAGACAACGTGATGACTGAGCCCAGTAGTAATTCCGTGGTACAGATAAACTTCTTCAAACTAAATCCAATATTATGCCATCCAATACATCCTCTCTTCTTCCGATAATGGACGTTTTTCCACACTAAGCAAATACAGTTCTTATTGTGGGAATAACACCATTGTTAAGTGAATCTGCTTGTTAGAAGGTAATAAAGGATGATCACATGACACTAGGGCACTGCAATCGTCATAAATATATGCCAGTTGCCAAGTGTTGAACACGTGGCCATGGAGACGCTGCAACAGTCATAAAGTGAAAAACCCGTAAGTCCATTTTTTTCACTACCCTTATAACTTCACACGGTCACTAGATGAACCATTGCAAGTCAAGGATTACCTGTACGATGCAGCTTTTGAGTTGTGCTGCTGGAAAAGACTCTCAAGAGTCCCTCAAACTGCAAGAAGATCAAATCAGTCAACCCTGAAGGAAATCAACCCGGATAGTTCTTTAGAATAGTGTTTCTCAATCTTGGCAAGTTCAAGACATGTGGACTTCGATTCCCAGAATTCCAAAGCTGGCTGGGGAATTCTGGGAGTTGAAGTCCACACACCAACGTTGAGAAACATTGCTTTAGAGCAGTGTTTCTCAACCTTGAACAATTTTAAGGCATGTGGACTTCAACTCCCAGAATTCCACAGCCAGCAATGCTGGCTGTGGAATTCTGGGAGTTGAAGTCCACATGCCTTAAAATTGTTCAAGGTTGAGAAACACTGCTTTAGAAGGACAGATCCTGATGGCTGAAGCTCAAATACTTTGGCCACCAAATGAGAAGAGGACTACTTGGAGAAGACCCTGAGGTTGGGAAAGAAGGAAGGCAGAAGGAGAAGGAGACGGCAGAGGATGAGATGGTTAGAAAATTGCATGAGAATGAGGCTTGCTGTTGAGAAAAGTTGTGGCTGGGTGTTGGTGAACACTGGCGTGTCACCCATAACATCACAGTGTCTCCCCTTTGACAAGTGTGTCACAGGTCTGCCATCACTGCCCTAAAGTAAGGCAGGAGATTGTGTCAATCAATAAAACAGAGAAGCAATTGACTGCTGGGATGCCGGGCCAGTGAAGTTTCGAAATGTTGAGAATTTGAATCATATTGTGCCCTCTGCCCCCAACACACTTTAATTTGCTGTTCCCTGCCTTCAGACTTGAGAAGCGACTCAGCTGTCTGATCCCTTCTCCAGGGAGCAGGGGTGCCAAGGTTAATCCAAATTAAAGCTCAAAGCGAAGAGAAGAACAATCTGAATCCAAACACATTCCGTTCCCGCCTACTTGAGGATTTCCCCTTGTAATTTTAGGGCAGGCGGGTCGGGAGCCTCAACTGAAACAGGAGCGCTTCCGGTCTGGATTTTGGGATGTTGGGTTTTTTTAACCCCCTTCCTTAGGAAGCAGATGGTGCCCGCATGCTCAGTGCTCCGACGGCCGCGTCTGCTCATCTGCACCTGTCAAACAGAGAAAGGGGCAAGGTCCCAGATGCCAACATCTGGCAGCTGAACACGAAACAGGCTTGACTTTGGGATGTCCTGCTATCTCTAAATACGGAGCTGTGGGGGCTTCCGTCATTTACCTGGATCTGGCAGCGGGTTGTGACAGCTTAGCAGCCCCTCGTATATCACAGGTAGACATCTGCCTGTGCTTTTGGTGCCCCTTCTCTCTCCCTCTGTCTTTCTCTTTCTTTTCTCTTTCCCAGGTGGCTTCTCGTGAAGATTACTCCTTCGTGGTATCTGTGCAATTGTGGAGATTGGGGACCCCCTCCCCCCCTTTGACAGACGGCTCAAATCTTGGGTGGTGATAAGGTGCAAATAGGGGGAAGTGTGTTTCCTCTCCCCTCCCAATTCAACGGACTTCATGAAAGCCGTTTATTTCTCAGAGGAGGAAAATAGAGTGGAGAAAGGCTTTGAGAGGCAAGGGGGAGGGGATTGGGCCCCTAGTTTACTCCTCCCCTCCATGAATAAGACCTCAACAGATGCTGGTTTGCAATTATTTATTTTATTGTATTGATTAGATTTTTTTTTTTTTTTAAGTAACTCAAAGCAGCAAACCTACATAGTGCTCCTTTCTGTGGGTTGGGTTCGGCTGAGAGAGAGTGACTGGAACAACCAGTTTTCATTCCTAACGCAGAAC